TGTGTATAAGAGACAGACTCTACCCTGATTAGGCCAAATAAAATAAATTGTTTGTTTGCCCTTCTTTTAAAAAAATGATAAATAGGGGCAGGTGAAAAAAGTTTTTTTTAATTTTTAATTTTTTAAAATACTCATCAGATAGAATAAAAATAACCCACAGAGTCCAAACACGCAGGACTTTTGCATATTTACCATCCGTAGGCCTACGTAGGGGGAATATGTACTGTACAGTATGTGTATTTTCTACATACAGTTTTAGTGGACTCTAAAATCGATTAAAGCATTTGAAACCCCTAAATTTTCATATTTTAGGGGGCTTCGCCCACTGGAACACTTTCCAGAGATTTTGAGCGATGCCCGACCACAACCACTTTTCTGTCGTCAGGGACGTCTGCCCCTCCTCTCGTGAAAATCCTGATGCCAACCCTGCCACTATCTAATATTATGTAAAGACCCTCATTATTTACCAAAGCAGCATTCTCTATAACACCGCCCGAGGTTGATTACCGGGCTCTAGTATACTACATTTGGAAGCTCAGCAGTGGTGCTTGCCGGAAAGCACACCCACAACTCGATTTTTTTTTAATACAAAAAATGTGTGTGAAACTTAACAGACGACATTACAATGACTTAGTTGCAACATTTGTTTTTATTAACTTGGGAAAAGAAAGAACCCTTGTTGTAGAACACTTTGCATAAAATTCCCCACATACACATATATTGTTTGTGATCATGAAAACAACAGTAATTTTGAATTAAGTATTGTATTGGTGTTTTGCATATAACGCAACACAACTATTTTCACTTAAGATAAACTGAAATTTACTGTTGTTATAAGTTTGTTGAAGACGATACTTCTGAGTTTACACAGGAAAATATTTCTATAGACACAACAAAAGCCAAATTACAGTTAGCCGAGGCTTAAGTTGCTAAAAACATCGAAGGAATGAACTTGATGTGGAGAATGTAAATTGGGTTCAAAATCAGACAAAATACTAAAAAAAAAACTTGGTTGCTCCATCAAGACTCTCCAAAAACAAATTAAGCGATTCTTTTGTGATAATAATTTTTTGTTGCATCCACACTCTGGGGAGACACATATACCTATCTTTGGTCATAACACCTTTTGATAAAAAAAAACAAAAAGGAACTAAAAAATAAAATTTCTATTGCTATTGAAACCAGCTTTTTGCAGCCAGAAATATATTGGATATTATTATATTGATGAACAATTAAAATCCCTATTTTGTTCAGATTTTCACATAAATAATATGAATACAAAATGTTATATCAACATAGAATATTAACAAAGGCTGATTTTTATATGAATTTAAATATCTATATGAACAGCCGTTGTTAGGTAACGGCTAGTTAGCATCATACACTGGTTCAGCCAACTTGATAGCCCTACTTGCAAATGCTACAAATAATGCAGCATTTTCACAAAACATTCTCCTTACCTCATCGCATCAAAGTGAAGAGAAATGAACACTGATGCCACAACAACTCGTTTAAAATCTATACTGGAGAAATTTCTCGATCTTTCCCTAATAATCAATGGATTTATTTATATAGTAAAATAAATAGGCATACATTTATGACAACCATTATCGCATCAACTTAACCACTACCTTCTTACTGTGGACGGTAAAACGATAAATGTTTTTAATAAACAGGTCAAGAGTAGTACACATACTTGCATCCCTCAAATATTGTTTCTCAGATTACTTAAAGGAAGACTACCCGTAACTTGTCTCATTATTACATCCATGTGTGATGCTTTCATCCAAAATGACATCAGTTGATCAGTCACAAATCAAATGGCACTATGGCTGACTTAATATAGTATGCAACCTAGTCATGCCTATTCCATTTTGCAATGCCATATATCTTAATTTTTAATAAGATTAATATAACTTATCTCATTAATACCACATGTGATAAGTTTAGGAACTTTTGGAAATGGCAAGATAATACTCTTAAATGTACTTGCATTTAGGTTCCCTAAATGCAACCGACGGTATAAACTACACCAATGCGTGATAGCACTAGCGAATTAATCTGAAATATCTAGTACAATGTAGCAAAGGTCTGTAAATAGATCAAGGCGATGAGGCATCTGTTGAGGCATCATTGCAATTCTGCAGGAAGTGATCCCTGTATCCTACAATGCCAATATAACCAGTATACAATACACCTAAATTATGACCAATCAGCAAAAAATAATATATAAAAAGATAAAATATATTCACAAATGATTGTGAATACAACAGGTTTGTGTCTCCCATTGCTGCTCATGTTTTTCTATTTATAGGTCACACAATACTGATTGTTACTCTCTCTCTCTCACTCTTAGTCTCTCCTGGGATAATCATCATTGCATCAGATAAACTTTTCTATAGATTACTGTACTTACATAACTTTGTTGCCACCTATGCACCATTGGTTTACTTATAAATGAGCTTTTGAAAAAACACACCCAAGATTAAACATAGTTCTATTATTATTAATCTAGGCAATAAGAAAATACAAATTTAATCTACTTTACTGGCTACCTATAGATCCTAAACCATGTAAATGCAAAAATGTAGCGTTTATTGATCTGGCATTAAGTTGGGAAACCAACAGAATGATTTACGTTAATAAAAACACAGCCTGTACAAAATACAGCTGTCTTTGATTCTAAGCTTTACAAAATTCGCCTGTAGCACACATTATGCAAAGCAAATCTTTCATATTATTTACAGATATAATTCAATCAAATGAATGCATGTCCTTTGCATTTTCTTTAATACAGTACACACACAATTAGACAACAATGGATCTTTCTTAATATCAAATACATAAGAAAGATACATTGCACTTTGAGTTTCTGTCAGAAAATCTTAAGATAATTTCCTATTGAATGAATAAATATAAGGCATTAATAAATAACCAAAAGTCAAAACTTAACTGGAGAAATGTTATGTACATTTTACTAATGACGATGAAATTCCAGCATGTCTTTTCTTTGGTGCATTAGATTCACTAAAAAATCATTACTGTGGAGGCACATTTAGAAAGACATGTGAAAACAGGTAATGAATGCCATATCACACAGATATTGCATATAGATAAAAAAATAGCTCACCATCAACACTTATAACTGTTCCTCTATTAGCATTAAGTGAGCCTTATTCAACTTATAACATTTCATTAAAAACTTTGAGCAAAGGTGGCTGCCTTTACTTGCATTTTGTTTTTTTTTTAATCAATGATACAACCTAGATAATCTGAGTCACACAACATCCCAGGAGAGAAAGGTATAACCTACAAATTGATCTTTACAAAATGTTCAGAAAAACATGTGAAAAATACACAAAAACATGGATTTAAATGAATTAACATTCACTCACATATAAGAGGAATGTTACTTTTAAAATGAAGTGAACTGTATCTAGAGCTTTCTGATACTGAGTTAACACTCAGCAACACTCAGTATTAAGCATCACGATACTATTACAGCAATAGTATCATCCATAATAATAATAACTATAGTATTTGTAAAACAATGACATATAATATGTTAATTAATTACACTTTAATTCTAAATAATACCAGGTTGTACTGTATGTTCCTAAGTCGAAAGGACCATTAGAATCTGTTACTAATGCCATAACTGGCTTACAATATATAAACAGAAACAATTCTTATGACAGTCGTCTTTCAATTAGTCTGTGGACATACCACTCACACACTGCTATAGTAAATGCTTAATCAATATCATTACACATTTATTAAGTTTCTTAGGCAACAGATTCCAATCGCCTAATCTGAGATAAATATGCCATGTTTCACCGATTAAAATATGCGCAACACTTGACAAGTTCATAACTGTAATGACCTTACATATTTGTCCAGCCATATATTCACGTTTGGAGAGTTCTCTTCATAAGGAAGACAATGGAACAACGTAAGTTTTAACTAAAACTAGCACAATACAGAAACAACCGCCCCCCACAAACATTTCTCTATTTACCTTTAATTCAAATCTAATTACGCCAAATAACTTGAAAGCTTTGATAATTCAATTGAATAGATCCAAAATCATAGGTGCTTGACAGTGGCATACCTGTTGAAAATTCTCAAGACATCACGCTAATACTTTAATAATTTACTTTGAAATTTCTGCTCTGTTAATGTTTTACAAAACAGCAAGTTGGTTAACAGGTTCAGTAATGAATGCCACTTTTGATATAGTTCCAAATAATTATATGCAATAGACTTGGTGCTTAACTAAGAACTGAAGAGGATTAAAAACACATCATCCGAGGGCAAGGACTATCAATTTGTATAGCACATGCTTAACATACCCTCATAGAAATTTGATGCCCCACGAAAGTGAAACAAGAGACCTACAATAACCAACAGATAAAGCAATCCCAGCATGCGAATTAACATCGACTTAATTAAGCAATGACTTACTACACGTTACTGTATTAACATACCAGCATAGAAGCATAATTCTTAGTTGCCCCACCAGTCTTGAGAGCTGGCTGCAGGTTGGTTGTAAGATCCTCCGTAAGTTCCTCCGTAATGGCCGCCATAGTGAGCAAAAGCGAACGGAGGAGGTTGTGCTGCAACAAACGTTGGAGCGGACTGGACAGTTTGAGCACCGCCACCTCTTCCGCCACCTCGGTGTTGTTGGCGGTAATCGCGTGATGCAAATCCACCGGCACCATAGCTGTCGAAACATAAATTTTAAATAACAATAATTCTCAGGATTTTCAGGACAAAAACAATTATTCAATCATACTTTGATCTTAGTATTTGAAACCCACACCAAGGACTGAAACATACTGTAATTTATACATGTTTGCTAATGACCATCACAATTAATTTAGATAATACACAAAAAAAAGATTATTAAAACAAATTTTACAACTTAATCATGGAATCAACATAAAAACTGAACAATTTAGCTATTGTCTCAAAATACACAAATGAAATTTAATCAATCTGTAAGGGAGTTTGTACCGGTTTCGTCCTCTCTTTGAGCCACTGTGCTTAGCCTCATATGCCATGGACTCCAGCCAAGATGGGACTTCCTGCTTTGCCTCGATACACAGGTCACACAGATCACGGGCAATGTTACGATTCTTCTCATTGAAGAAGGATGTAGCCAATCCTATAAAAAAATACAAATTACAAGTACAGGGAACCATGAATGCAAATCTTTAATTATTTGTAAATCAATAGGCCGGAAATCATTTTCATATAAAATAATAATAAATTTTTATAGCATATAATGGTTGGAGTAGGAGGGGAACACCACTTCTGGTGACAGTTTGTGTACAACATCTGCCTTTCTCTTTCTTTGCTTTTGTTTTATGTTTTCTTTTTGTGTTGTACTGTTTGCTGTATGGAATAAAATAAAAAGTAACATAATTAAAATAATTATCATTATTTTTTAATTAAGACCAGTAAAATTAAATGTTTCTATCCTTTAAACATTAATAGTTAAACTGTAATTAACTAATTATTTTTGCTTGTACTAATACTCTTATGAAAAATCCTCTTGAACTTATTTTTTAAAATTAAGAATAAAATAGTTGTCTTTATAGATATAAAAGAACTTGAGTGGTCAACAATATGTTATATTTATTTACGAATAAAATAGGAAAGCAATCAATTCTACCTAGATTCCCAACTCTTCCAGTACGGCCAATACGATGCACATACTCCTCACTATCGGTAGGCAAGTCAAAGTTCACAACATGTTTCACGTTGCTAATATCCAAACCACGGGCTGCAACCTAATCAATAAAAAACGCATTGTAAATGCATTCAACATAATAAATCTGCCCAACATTTATTGGGACGCAACCTAACCAGTAAATTAACTGCCTCAAATTGCAATATTCTAGTATTTGCCAAGAAAATACAGTTTCCCTCAAATTTAAAAATCCTTCAATTAAAGACGACCTCAGATTAAGCACTGCTATTCTGTGGTCCTAAATTTACGAATGTCTTCTATCTTTATTAGCTGCTAAAGATCATAGAAACCCTGGTCCCAAAAGTCTTCAATACTTTAAAGTCTTTAATTCTTTAAAGTCCTTAATTGGAGGGAGACCTGAATTTCAATGTCATTCTTTCTGTATGATGATGGAATTATATAATCAGGATCATGTGTGAACATGTATAGCTATGATCTATTAAAAAATATAATGCATATATTATTTAAATTAGTGTGAAACTGTAGCATGGTGGTTAAGCACACATGCTGTTCCACAAACATGTGCTTGCATATATTTTAACACTGTTGGTTTATGGGACCTTAGCAACAATATCCAAGGGGAGGAGGTTAGGGAAAAGGTTCATTGGCAGCACTTGTGTTTGGATGTGAATGGAATAAAAACAAATCTGAGATCATGAATACAAGATTTACTACTTACAGCTGTTGCTACCAAAATTGGTGTGCGTCCAGTACGGAAGGTGCGCAAAGCTTCTTCTCGGTCACGCTGAGACTTGTCACCATGGATACTGGTTGCTGGGTAGTTTTCACTATACAAGAAATCTTCGAGGGCATCAGCACCTTTCTTGGTCTCAACAAACACCAGTGTAAGTGAATCACCACCTAATAGCAAGCAAATCATGAACATTAAATCAAACTGTGTCAAAAAACAATTCATATAATTCAAAACTTCTGGTCATTTTTAAGGATATAATCATACAGATAAAATTTTACCAAAACTATTAAACAAGTAATTACTTAAAGTTTTTTTTTGTGTCTTAGAAAAGTCAGATACACAAACACATCAAAATTGTTTTCCTCCAGAGCTTGGCTTCAAGAAAATATGATAGAAATAAAACAATCTCAGAAATTTTTGAAAATCATTTTTGGATTTTGCTTACCAGCTGCATTCAGCAGATCCAACAAAAAGGATCGTTTGTCAGCTTCTTCTACCCACACAATCTTTTGAGTGATGTTGGAACTGGTACTACCTACACGGCCAACAGCCAAGAAAATGTAGTCATCAAGGAAATCCCTTGCCAGCATCTGTCAATTACAATTAGTAACATAATATTAATACATACAATCAAAGATAATACATAGAAGATAAAGCAGTTCGCAATACAGGGAATGTCATGACAGCAATTTTCCTCCATCCAAGCAGAGGCGCTCAGGTTTGTATGTTTCCTGTTGTTTCTCCACTATCAAATGGTCAATATTTTCTCCAGTCGCTGGAGGGTGAACGTTCTGTCAAATTTAATGCAAACTACTCAAAGAGCTCATTCTTTTGCTATTTGAGTTCTTTGACACAATTAACATTTCATACCATTGGAAACAGCAGATAAAATATCAATCAACACTTAAACATCATACATAAAGTGGTTGTAGTACAGTAAAAAATACACAAATTCAATCATCTTCATTTTATAACCAAAAATATTTTAGAACAGGATATCGCCTAGAGATCATCTCGTACTACAAAGCACAGAGCAACTACAATATGCTTTTCTGTATAAATGTAAGCAGTGAATATTTAGTGTTTTTGTGCTGATTAGGTATACCATTTTCCATCTGGTTCTAAAGTAACAACAGTTCACAGTAGGGTAAGTAATAATTACATTTACATACTTAGTTCAATAAAATTAAAAATTGGAATTGAGCAGTTATAGCATTACTAGAATTAGGTAATAATTATTAATAATAAGGTAAAATCTAAAAAAAAGAAAATCCTCCTCAAATTGCTCAATTAACATCGCAGTAATAACTGTTAAATAAAACAAGTTGAACTACGCAGATTTCCTCCTTGTGTGGCTCTTCTGAGCAAGTCTAAATAAAATGCCAAACAATCTTCAGCTACATATTTTCTGCTTTCTAAGCATAAGTAAATGGTTTGTGAAATCAACAGTATTTAGCGTTTCTATACAATAATTACAAAGAGTTACTAACAGCATGTAGTCCTGTAACAGAAATGGAGGCTATACTGCCAACTAATTGGGACGGGCATAAGCATAAGGATAACAATGATGTATTAAGCTGTAGGGCCCAATGTGAGACACGTAACTGAGTGGCTAAAAGTGATGCGGTACGGGCATACCCATAAGGATAACAATGATGTATTAAGCTGTAGGGCCCAATTTGAGACACGTAACTGAGTGGCTAAAAGTGATGCACCTAATTGCTAAATTCACATGGACGCAGCTGCACGCCATTCAATCATTTTAAAAATGAACGTACTTGATGTACTCCATACTGACTCGACCTCTCTCCATCATGTCAACAAGACGGCCTGGTGTTGCAACTAGTAGATGGCATCCACGCTCCATATCTCGCAACTGGGCTCCGACATCAGCTCCTCCATATACAACACATGGACGTACGTGACTTCGGTAAGAAAACTGGAAAAAAAAAATATTAACTAGAATTACGCCTGTTCATATTCAACAAATTTAATGGTAGACCAGCCAATCTCAAATGTAATCGTATGTACTTGTCAGTTTTTGTGTACAATCACTATAATAATTACAACTGTAAGCAGATTGAAGCAATCTTTAATTAGTTCATATTCTGGTATTGTTTTGTTATGCATTCTTCTCCTGTTGTAAACCACGAAGACACTTTTTTGTAAAATGTATTATAAAAATGCAGTCATAGTGAATTAGGCCTAGAACTACCAACACTTTTAGCTCAAAATCGGCTGTTATTAGTCACCATAATAATAGAATGATTGAGTAATAGTTAAATATACAAAGTATTTTATTGTACAAACATCTTATAGCACATTCAGATGTTAATATAAAGCAATCTACACATGAAAAACACTTATTTATTTGTCTCACCTTTCGTGCCTCATCAAATATCTGACAAGCCAGCTCCCGAGTAGGTGCCAGAATAACAGCAAGAGGGTAGTTCTTGCGCTTATTGGTGCTGTTTTTCTGAAAATGTAGGTTAAAGATCTGGTAATAGATTTAAAACAATAAACATGTATTATAATTAACAAAAAGTATGTTTAACATATAATATTTGCCTTTAAATTTGTATATAATACTACAGTATTTTTTTCCGACACAGGAAAGAATGGAAAAATCTGCTATTAATATGAATTATGCATGAATACATACTGTACTTGTCTTGATATTCAAATAAAATATAATTATTTAATCAATGATTTTTAAACAATCATTTTTTTTCCTATTTTTTGACGACGTTCAATTTTTTTTTCAAAGAAGTTTGTGTTCTTTACTTGTGGGCACTGTCCTGGACCAGCTTTAAAGATCTGTGTCAAAATTGGAAGCAAAAATGCTGCAGTCTTGCCAGAACCTGAAATAAACAAAACAACCAAATGATTCCAATGTTAAAAATTACTAACTTGAAATATAATACATCTGTCCACCATACTCAACAATGTCATTTATTATATATTTTTTATTGTGTTTTCATTCACAAGTGACATAGAATTAAATTATGTATCATAATATTGGCTTGAGGAGTGAGTGTAATACAATCTATGGTATAGACCGATAACTTGCAGAGTTAGCTATAGTATTGAGTCTACAACAAGTTTGATTGTGGAAATTAGTATTTTTACAGCAATAGAGGGAAGATTGTTTATAGGGAGTCACACAACCTTACTTGGGTATACATGAAAAACATTACACTGCGATAGCATAGGAAAAGATAATGTTATGGTTGCGAAAACAACCACCACCGTTAACATGAGAAGTAAATGGGTTGGAAAGGCTATATGATTGTTCAAAAGTTCAAAATAGTGTTTATTTACTTATCCTGTAGTGTTCTAATTAGATTGTATGCTTTGAAATTTAAGTGATCCTTCATAAACCTATAGCTGGCCCTAACAGCGTGGTTCACGGGTCGAAGACCATCATGTATACCTAACAATTCCGTAGATGTGCAGGGGCATTGGCCTAATATTTGTCGAAAAATCTCAATGTTTGCAGCTAGTATTCTTTACAGCATTAGCAAACCATTAAGGCCAAATTCTTAAGTTTAGTTTCCAATCAATTTGGTTTAGTTTACTGGGGATAATGATCTTTACAGCAATTAACTTGTAAAACACTGCTGTGCCATTTGACTGTTTATATCCAACACCCAAGTTAGGTCATGTGATGCCCATCGCCAAATCTCTCTATATCTTGTTTACAGCAATGAAACCTTCTGAAGTGTCAATGGACCTTCCGCTAAGCCCCGCCCCTTGGATATTGTTGCTAAGGTCAATCAAGACGAGTGTTAAAACATACGCAAACAAATGCGTTTGTGGGACAACACGCGTGTTTGTGAGGCACGCGCGCGGTATTCCTAGTTTGGAAGACATGCAAGTGCACAAGCACACACGTTGCCAAATGCACAATTTTACGTATGTCTATGCTATCGTTTTTTGTGGGAATTTCGCAACAATACACAAGGGGCGGGGCATTGCAGACAGGTCAATTGTGCTATTTTCCAAGACTACGTTTTGCCATTAACTCTTGTCTAAAGAATCCTTCACAGTTGTAAAAAAGGTTTCTTGTCTATTTCTGCAATTGGTTTGTAATCTAATTGTTTTCACTAACCTGTTTGAGCACAAGACATCAGATCACGGTTTTCCAGGATGATGGGAATGGCGTACTTTTGAACTGGAGTTGGGCGTTCATACTTGCTAAGTTTGATGTTAGAATGAATGATCTCTCCTAGTTTACACTCTGTAAACTGTACAACAATAATATCATTTCAATAAAAAAAAACCTATTTAGTCAAATACTAAAATACAAATTAGTGGACAATTTCACATGAGGTTCAACAAAATTTGCAAATGACACTCTGAGCCCGATCATAAAATAGAATACAGGTCTGCTTTCAATTAAAGATCACTTTTGGGACCAGGGTTTGAATTTGGAACCATAAAAAAAGGTCTTTAATTAAATGAAGGTGGTCTTTTACTAGAGGGTCTTTGAATAGAGGATGATCTTATTTCAAAAATAAGGGTGCATATCTATTTTGCTTTAACATAACAATTCTGTAAATAGATGGATAAAACCATCAACCAAAAACAGATCATTGATGGAAATCACAATGGAATAGCAATATTACCTATATGAACTTCTTAGTTTACAGTAAATTCTTGTTTTTAAGTATTTTATTGTATATTTTATTTTTTTAATTAGAATAATTTTACATACCTCTTTTATGTTTTCTGGTATATTACGTCCAGTTGCTTCAACAGGAATGTCGTCATATTTTTCAAAGTTTATACCAGTGTTTCCACCAGCAAACAACTCCCTATTGAACAAGAGTCAATATTTAGAATCTACTTACATTTTAATATTTAAAAAAAATAAAAAAATAAAAAAAAATTGCCAGAAAAGTGGTGAATGCATGAAAATTATTTTCACAATTGTTTATAGAAGTTATAAAATTAAGATTCCAAATTTAAGATTTTAAAAATTGGAATTTTGAAGCTTACTTTTCAACTCGTTCATTCCTGGGAAGGGGTTTTGTCCAATCTTCTTTGGTGATTGTGTCACGATCAGTGCGTCCACCCCAGCTGTCTTCTTGTCTGTTGGCCTCACCATAGCGATCGCCACTCCAGAACGAATTTTCGGCTTTTGGTGGGTCTCGTCCTCTCCAATCGCCATCAGTGTTGCGACCATTATATCGGTTTTGATAACTTCCACCCCGGTAAGATGTATCATTGTAGCCTCCGCGGGTGTAGCTGCCACGGCTCTGGAAGCCGCCTCTCGGCTGATAGCCACCTCTTGGATATCCACCGCTATTATAATCTTGACCGCCATAGCCGCCTGCTGAATTATAACCCCCTGAATTGTAGCCTCTGTAGTTTTGGTTGTATCCGGACCTGTTGTAACCGCCACGTCCCCCATAGCCACCCATGGAGTCTCCTCCTGGAGAATTGCCATAGCCACGTCCTCCTAGATCATCTGAATATCCTGCAACCCAGATAACATTTAAAGACTTTCAGTTTTCTTGGTGGCTATTCTAAAATAATGTTAGATAACTAAGTGGTTGTACAATGGTCACTAGAACTCTTGTTAACTGCTCATTGAATGTCATTTGGCATACTACAGGTTTGAACTGATGCAAGTAAAAACAAAAATTTTAAACAATGGTAGTGAAAAAAAAGTTCAGTAAATAAATAAGCCAATTCATAGTTCAAACTGTGCATGCTCGTACCCGAGGTCAATCGACATTACCCTATGTTGTCCATATGGTGTTTATGTTGATTGAGTTTGGTACGAGCATATGCAGTTCTAACTACGCATTGGCTTATGGGGGAGTAGCCTAAACAAATAGTAACACAGTTAAATAGACAAACAGATCAAGATTTACTGATGACTCAATAATATACAACTAATAATGCAACACTATGATAAATGCAATCAACCATGAAATACACAGTCAACAGAGAGAAATAATAGTCAAACAAAAGTATTATATACAGTACCACCAGTTGACCAAAAAACAAAAACAATGTATAGAAAATTTTTGGTAGTGGATTTAAACTTGGAATGTGTAAGTACCATACACTTGTGGTAAATTTGTATAATTGAGTCCACTCACCAAAAAACTTGCAAGGCTTGTGCAGTGGAGTTCTAAGAAAAAAAATTCTTGCGTCCCTCAGGATTTAAACCCAGGACCACAGGATTAATTGGCAGCAATCTTAACCACAGACTACATACCCACTCAATAACTTAGTACTATATTGTAACTATTAAATGAAGAATAACAAAGATACTAAAAACACAAGATAAAGTTCTCTACAGTAGAAAGTGTTCCACCAAAATGCATGGTTAGAATACAAACAATGGTTCGCCGCGTACAACTGGATTAAAAAAACTTCTGACAAACTTATATCACGGTGAATACATAACCACACAATTGTATGACCACAATCTGATTAGTTTCCATCATTAGCGGAAAAAGAAGGGCACCACGTATGTTTGGATTTACTTAGCAACAGAAGGGCACCCTGTACGTCTTTACGTAAACTGGATAAATGTGTGTAAACTGCTATTTTGAAAACTGGAGGCCGCCGCTTACGACTGGACTTAAAAGATGTGACGTATATAAATCCGCCTCACTTTTGCTATGTGAGTGCTCTATCTTGTATTTTTAGAATCTTTGTCAATAACATTTGAAAAGTTGAAGCATGCAAAATTGCAATACAATCCCCATGCCTACAACAGATACTGCTATAACAAACCAAAAGTAATTTTATAATACATTTATTTACGAAATACAAAGGTCAAAGATTAAACCAAAACATGAGGCGTAGCCACAGGATAGGTTGCACAAATTTAATTATCATCAAATTGTATAGCCTAAAGAAAAGGTGTTTAGGTGTTTGCTGCTAATTAGGTGTTTGCTTCGTTAGCAGAAGTTAAGCAACATACACAGGTTCTCACCTGCTGCACTATAAACCCCTCCTTGATAAGCAACATATCCACCTTGGTTACCACCAAAACCTTCAAGCGAAAGAAAAGTTTATGATACATACTCAACCAATAGAGGGCGCATTTTGGAGATTTTCAATTGACTTGAAAAAACATGATACATACTCAACCAGTAAGTGCACATTTTGGAGATTTCCAATTGACTTGATAATTTATTTTTGGAAAATATTTAATTTCATTCCATATCTTTGTACTAAAATATTGCACCAAAATGAGCTGGATTTTATGGCAGTCAAAAGACAATGGAATGAAAACCTCTTAACAGTATACTAGTCTAATTTTTTTCAATTTTGTTAACAAATGAATATTGTAATATAAGTTTAAACAAAGACAAATTAATTGGAAAAAAAAACAAAAAAAACAACTAACCTCCACTGGCAGCTTCTCTTAAATGAGGGGGTATATAGCGTTGCGGAGCTAAAAAAAAAGTAATAAAAAGAATAATGGTTGTAAAAGGGTTGGTGAGAAAATAAAACAGCAAGCCAACCAAAATATATGATGAATTGGTTTTTTTATAATTACTACGAATACTGTAACTTAATACTATGGCTTAAAGCTGATCAGACGAGTCTAATCAGCTTATATAGCCTCCTCCACAAATCAAATCCAATTGTTTGACGATTTATTATATCTGTATATATTATATTATTATTATATATATAATATATAATATTATTGAATTGTGGAAATAAACATTGAACATCTGTATAATTGCCTACCAATTTAAAAATTAGCACGCATCTATATTCACTTTGTGGCGCGCATGTATACTTAATGTCTCTTATAAGAAGAAGATACAAATTCTGCAACAATGCAGTGTACAAATTTAGTAGTGCACCCTCTTGCAAAAGCAAGTACTTTTCAACCTTGATCCAATGATCCCATAATCAAAAGATAGCGCACTCTTTGATTTCTGCGAAAGTTCATTTTCTAGGATGCCTTCTTCCAAAACACAAGTAGTTTGAGCAGAAAAAAACTTTTGATGCTACTAATTGCTACGCAAAGTGTGTTACCTTGTTATTGTTAGATCTTTGATATCTGCACATAAATAGTACTTTCTTAACAAGATATCTCAGTATGAATATCTCTGGAAGTCTACTATAGCAACATTTAGCATGTCCCATGCAATATTTTATCTTGTGTGAATCAGGTATAAAAAACTTGCAATTTATTATTTTGTAGTTAGTACTTCGTAAATTAAGTTTTTGTGACATTATTTAACATAAAGGTTTTGTAAAAGCTTAGTGTGATTTGTTAATGTGAATGCACATTAGTGTAAAATAACTCTGTTAGGTGAAAGTATACAGTCTCTGTAAGATTTGTAAATGAGGAAGTCTGGTAGAGTAGGTCTAATATTAGTGATTTGTTAAGTGCAAGTCATGTAAATTAAGTCTTGGTGTACATATTTTATAGTAAGTCTTGTAAAGAATGTAATTTGCAAAACTAAATTAAGTCTTTGTTAGTTTTGACAGTGCAAGTGAGTATAAAATATTTGATATGAGATAATCTTGATTATTAGCAAAATTTGTTCATATTCAAATCATTGTCCAATAAATTTTAGTGTTCTTTTGTAAAGCTTGTTAGAAAAATCTTAGTAATATCTGTACATTTAAATCAAAGGTTCCTTTGTAAGTTAATTATATTTAAAATGTTTTGGCAAGATAATACTAACCTCCTCTATTTCCTTTATGTCCTGCATTCAAGTCTAGCCCAGACATCTGAAAAGAGAAAAACAATTTCTGCAGATATTGTAACTTAATATTAAAACTAAGCCCTACCTTTCTGGCCCTTGCAATTCCACACAGATTATATGAATAAATAGGCAGGGCCAAGCCTAAGCAAAGCATACCACTAGGCACTAGGCCAGGCCTAGAGATGTACGCGCTAATACGGTCTCGGATCCGGTTATGAAAACGGTTACCAAATTATTTAAAACTTGCAACTATTCAAGACTAACATAAGTGGCGCAGTCAAGCCAAATCAGTCGCTTGTCAGAGATCATCAACTGGAGAAAATCAGGCTTAGGCTTTATAAGTAGAAAATTTCGATGAAAATTAAAATTTAATGCTATGCACGTCTCCATTTTGAAAGCAACCAGCGATTTGGTACCAATGTACAGTAAATGGAATTTTTCAAGTTATTGGTCAATTGTCATGACACACCTTTAATCTAACCATTTACAACAATTTTAAAAAGTGTAAACAATTTTGTTGTTCCTTGACGACGACGCTAAAATAATTTCTGTGTTTGGTCAGTCACATAATGACATAATACTGAGCTCGCGTGCAGTTACGATTTGATCTTGCAATGCCACAGTCAATTAGAAACAGTGTTATTAGAGCCAAGCTAGGCCTACTAGGCTGCAGCCAAGTCTGAGGGGGCCTAGGCCTACAGTAGGCAGTTTCTAAGCATTCTGATCCCACTCTAAACCCCACACAAATTTGTTTTTAATCGGACGTTTTTACCTTCTTAAATACCTAGATTGTCGATTTTACTCCAACATAAATTCCATAGATACTTGTTTATTATATATATTGATCATTCAATAAAACAATCAAGTACTATGTTGACTTTTTTAAAGAAGCCTGTTAAAGGGCCTCCTTCACTTGATAATTACATAATATTGTATAGTATGGTATGTTGTGTTGTATGCATGCTAATAACAATTACAATTCGAGCGGATTTTTAAAAAAATTATTTTTCACTGCACTTTTTATGACGTAATCACCTTGATTTTACGTTCGTAAAAAAGGGAATTCGTTAAATCGGGGTTTGTAATTGAGGGTTTCTACTGTACCAAAAATCAGTGAACAATGATTTGACAATACAGTTTGCCCTCAAATTCGAGACTACCTTTGGGACCTGAAAATTTGTCGGACAACTGGTATATGGTCGATATTGTAGATATCTTTTTTTTAATACATGGTACTTAGTTGCTAATTTCAAATAAAATTTAATCTGAATATGAAATTTATGTGTGGATTTGGTTTGCTTGTGTTGGTGTTTTATTTGATAAAATAAAGATGCATTGTGTTGATTTAACTGCTTGATGTAGCGCAATTAACGCCTATCTGTAACACCTCGGCGTTCATCGGCATCTTCAAACATTCTTTTGTCAGTCAATAAAGACAAAGATCTATTATATACGCAAAAAAAATCACGCACTTTCCTGCGCCCTTGCTTCCCTATAAAGTATGACGATTTTTTCAAGAAGACATCATTTTCAATCAAATCTTGTTTAATAAGATGTGTATTAATGTGATTAAGACGTGCATCATTTGTATTACCTTAACTTGTGATTTTTTGTTGATTTAACAAAATAAAATTCATTTTTTGAAATTAAATATCTTCACATTAATTAATATTAATTTAAATAGAAACCATTTTACAAACAGACTGTTACATCATGTCTGAAATTGCATCCTGTATAAATATGTAATCAATCTTTTTGGTTATATTGTATTTTAACTTTTTTTTATATAGCCAACATCCACTTCTACCTGCTCTCCAACTTCTTATACGAGGAGAGTCAGACAGTCGCCATAAATGCTGAATTGGTGTACAGGGAAGATGTTCTACGCAACCAATCTAGACATGCTGTTATGGCAACTCAAAAGCTGGATGAGTATTGCGATCAGTATGCTCATGGAACACGCACTGCAAAATCCTTATTGCTTGCTTCTAGCCGAGTTATAAGCCGAAATGCTCGGATATAATATTTATGGAATCCATTGGTGCAACGAAACTCAAATAAATCTATAGTAAAAAATTAATTAAATGTTAAGATAAGAATGAAATTATGTACATGGTATTTAAGGTTAATTGTTGACTATAGCAAAACAATAAGTAAATGTTGAGATAAGAATGAAGCTATATGTATGTATAATTCATTGTTAATTAATGCCTATAGTAAAACAATAAAATGTCGAGATAAGAATGAATGTATATGTATGTATTATTTATTGTTAATTGTTGACTATAGTAAAAACAATAATTAAATGTTCAGATAAGGATGAAATTATATACATAGTATTAATGTTAAGCAATAATAAAGTGTGATGCTAAGAATTAAAATAATAGTTGATTTCTGTAAAATAATAATAATAATAATACTCTACCAACAACTGATTTATCAGAAGAAACACAAGTTAGTAAAACATCAAATAAATATCAGTCATCTTCAAAGTCGTAGTACAAGAATAACAAATGTTCATTCAATAAAACAAACAAAACACAAGTTAGCAAAACTCAAATAAATATCATCTTTAAATGCAATGACAAACAGATGTTCATTCACAAATAACAAACTGAACTCAAGTTAATAAAATTCGAATAAATAAACTAAAGAAGCCATTTAAAAAGTACCATCCATTTCTGTAAGAAAATAGGCATACTATAAATCAATTGATATAATAAATAAACTAACTAAATATTAAGTCTCGATTTATATAGGCTATATATAAATTATGAAAGAAAATATACACTAATTTGATAATTGATTAAAGCAGTATTAATATCGAACTCTGATGCCCATTGCATACAGTACTGCGCACTTGGCGCTCCATAAAAAAATTGCTATGTATCGACTCGCGGCCGCTACGACCCTAATCCGTACCTAGCCTAGTATTAGTACTAGAAATTGCAAATGAAGTGCTGCAAGTACAACAGTCAAGTGAAATAATGAATAATAAAAATATAACAAATAATATGAGACACAACCCATTGTCTATTATATTAGAACACTTCTCATTGGGTAACAAAGTCTTAATTTTTCATTTTTGTCAAAAAGTGTCTATAGTGGTGAATTATGGTTTAGGTTTTTTTTTTAATAAAGTTTCAAAATTTTCTATGTATGTGGAAAACGTAGTTGATTACCAAAGGTTACAATTATTATTTTGAAGACTAAGGTCTAGGAAGTGTACATTTTTTTATGGGGCAAGTTTCCAAGGGCGGGTTTTCTAGGGGCGAGTTGACTGCCAAAGAGTGTTGCCAAAGTGCGAGCCAGCATGTTATTTGATCACAAGTGCGAGACATCGCAAGTGTGAGCCAGCGAGCCATGACGTCACGACAATAGATACGACTACGAGATGTTACTCGAGTTGTGCGAGGTATCGGCTGAGATTTGTGGTGTACAATTCAAAAAACAACTATATAAGTCTAATAATGAATTATTGTGATGTTAAATAGACAATGTTAGCTATCAAGGAGCGACGTTGTTTTTCATTGGGACCTTCGTCCCTTCAAGGCTAGGCCTATACACCATCCTAGCTAGTCTAGGCCTAGAGTAGTATAAGGCTAGCGCGACATGCGGACATTGGTTAGTCTACAAACATGGCCTAAATAATTGATTTTACCCGGCAGAACGAAAGAAGAAAACTCCGCTTTTCAGTCGTCTTAGGCCCTTGATTTTTGACAAACAATGACCTTTCAGAGGTCAAATTGCTGTCAAGAATATGAA